TAGTGAAATAGGTAAATGCAATGTATCATTAATAGATGCATTCATAACGGAAATACAATGGGAGACTATAATCCCTAGGCTGACAAAGTTCATTTGCAATGTATAATGCTACCCATATAGGTCTTACTATCATGATGTCCACTTTTGGTTTTAATACAATTATCTACAAGCCGGTTGTTTTTATTTCATACCTTTTTGTGTATTTGGTGCACAACCGTACCCTATAGAGAATAGGAATAAAATAAGTCGAATCAAATTCATAAAGAGCTATAAAATGTTAGGTTTAGTGGAATATAATGAGCAAGTGAAGACGTTATTAGAAAATGAATGAAATGAAACATTGTTAAGTGATATTCGAAGATACGACAAAGGAAAGCATGTTAATTTATAAGGTGCCCCATAAATCTGTGCAGAGCCCACGTGGTCGCATCTCAGCAATAGGCTGACCGAATGGTATATGTTTGAAGGTAGAAGCATGATCTGTCTAGGCGATCATTATTATCTTTTTCAAGATAAAGATTCAAGCCCTCATAGAAATCTCGAGCCGTCAAATTGCATATTGCTGTTCCTGCAGAATGGGGCGATTTACCTTAGTGTCCACCACCATAACTACTGATCAGCTCGCGCCACCCTCCCTCCTTAGTTACTAGACACTGGGTAGCGTCCCTATGAAACAGGAAAACTCCAGGGAGTCAGTGGCAAAATAGTCATCCCATTGACAGCGTCGAACGAGTTCTTGGACTAATTTCTAGTCTGTGTGCTTACATATCATGCTCCCTGAATCTTGTTTGTTTCCTGTATTTGGTGACGGGAAAGTCAGCCAGCGGAGTACCATTCTAAGGTCGCCACTGGAAAATCTGTTGCCAGCACAGGCGTAGACCGGGATTATGTTGTGATAGAACACAAGTTTCAACATACTGTCACCACGGGTAGGCGTCTGGACGTGTTTTTTCCGTCCGTAGCAATCAACAGTGGCAAGTAATTCGTCGAGGCGTTGGGGGCCGGAACTACTTAACCAGTTGACGTCTGTAAGATTGAAGTCCCCTGCAATCATTTTGTAATTAGTACTAAACAAAGAGGCGTGTGCAAACCATTCCACTAATAATTCACCAGCCTCGTGGGTTGAGTGTGGTGCTCAATGAACACAGCCTATGAGATGCTTGCGTTTATCTCCATGTAAGACGACCCAGAGTGAGTCGAGTACCGTATTCAGTACTTCATCTTCCACCTTACTGACTGCGAATGAGTTATATATATCTATGAAGCATCCCTCACCGCGCTTGCAATCTCTATTTGCACGGTGTAGGGTGTAGTCACATGTGCCCAAATGCGCATCAAGTGTAGAGGATGAGCAACGTGATTCAGTTATCAGAATCACCATGGGCTTGGCGACCAATACTAATGTCCTTGGCTCGGATATCTGGTTGGTTAGGGAACGTACACTAATTGGCAATATCGTGAATAAGTCGTGGGACATTGCAGACTGGCTTAAAGTATCACCATGATCTTATGCTGTATGTGCGTCAGCATCGGCAGGGTTTATGGGGGAAAAGGGGGTCGGACTGGGTGTCCATACATCGGGGTTGGAGCACGATGGGGTGGTCCTAGGTGCCGTGGATCGTACCAGTAATTCGGGACACCTAAAAAATGTACTGTGTTGCTGGATGTACGGGTAGTAGCGGTTACGGCTTGGTTGTGGGTTATGAAGCATAGCATTGTGAAGTCTACCCATCAACCGGTTATTTGGCGTACCACTACGTGTCATGTTATCGTTTCTGTAGCTAGAAACATATTGTGGGGAAAATTTGCTTTGATGCATGGATAGCTAGTAGGTGATATTTGTTGAATTGCAGCACCCATATGTTTCTTTTTGGAGGGTTTCTTAGGATGTGGTCTAGGTTTGTTACCGCACTTACTTTCAACAGGCTTGTTGAATAGAGAATATTCATAATCATTCTTTGGGCCCAATCCTTCGAAATTTGTTCATCGTAGTGTGACTACTACGTTTAGGTGGACATTTGTTAGGACTCCTTACAAAAGTACTAGCTATTTTAATTTCTCTCCGTGATGCTTTGGTCGCAGGGAGACTGACATCTAAATTACCCCCTAGTTCCATTGGCAAGTATGCAAGCTGTGAAGCTTACTCAGTGCTATTGTCGTTACTAGCTGACTAATGCGATGCTCAATCCGCTTTCGGTCAGTGTAAGCCCGAAGAAATATAAAATCATTGCTACGCATTATTGTGTATTGACACGGTGTTTTCTCTTCAGCTTCGGTTATGGACTTAATACTGTTATTTATGATCTTGAAATTTAGTAAGCTTACTAGCGTCAATAGAGTTGCCAAACCTAAAAATGATGGGACAGTTAGACCGTGTTGATTTTTTACGGAGTCGTTTGCATTCACATAACACACCAGCCATGCCACAACAATTCGGGATCCTGCTTTTTATGGATTTTAGACGCATTCGTTTCGGTATATTGTCAAGTATAGGCCGACGAGATGAGACTTTACGCTCCATCACTTCGGTAGTCCATGAGATTTTCTCATCCGGAAAAATTGTGGGATTGTTTTCGAAAAGGCGGGCTATAGGGTCTAATTGCAAGCATCCAATAAAGTCTTAACCTAGTCAATATCAGAATAGTTTTCAGTGATATTTGAGATTGATAGTGGAATGCAGTCGAACTAGCCTAATTTTTTCTGCAGTTCCTTTACTTGTCTCTGGATGCCTTCTACAAGGCAGTTTAACTCATAGAAGTCAAAGTTCTCCAACAGAATATCCCTCAGCTGCATTACTGGAGTGAGGACTGCATTCGAGGCATTTGGTGAGCTAGTAGCTGTTACTGTATTATGGGGCGTTAACTAAGTATTAGGCGATTTCGGGCTACTATTGTGTTCCTACGATCACGACGTTTACAGATTCGACCCCTAATTTTCAATGGTTACTTATCGGAATTCAATAAATTAATATTAGCGGAAATGTGTGAAAATGTCACTAATTTTGAACGTATTGCTCTCCGAAGCCACTGCAAAGTAGTTCTTTACGAAATACACGAAGTAATTGCATTACAAACCTTCAATGTTGAGGATGTGGGGGTTCCCAACACAAAAAGGCAATGGCTGAATAAAATGTCCGGCTATTAACTGAAGTTAGGATTCAGGATAATAGCGCAAAATGGTCCGGTATTAGAATCTGATTTATGTAAAAATGAGATGTAAAGCATACAGTATATTGTTTGTGTTTGACAACGCGTTCGCAGATCTTTTGACAGTTTTGTTCTTCCAGAACTTTGTATCTATCTGACTATATCTAGGTACAGGGTATCTGCTTGTCACAAATAGAGATTTTCAGGAGAGAGGTTAGGCTAAAATGCATGAGTAGCCTTGAAAAGTCCGTGAAGCACGAAATTTCTAGGGGACACTCCAAACAAGCTTAAGTGGTAAAATGCAAGCTGCTCAAATAATCTGCACTAATTCATCGTCAGGATGAAATGCACTATTTGAGGTGCATGTTATCAGAAACCATAACAACAAACTCTTCAACAGTTTAGTGATATCTGAAGTATTCAGCTATACATTAGACTGACAGGTGAACAACATAGAAGCCACCTACACACACTACGACTTTGGCAATCTACCTTGTACTCTTACACCACGAAGATGACTCCGATCCAAACAAATCCCGAAAATGACTGTGGAGAAGCAAGCACTGCTTCGTTTAACGACACTAGACAGCTAATTTTCACGCATTGTTTCGAATTTCTATATATGACACTTTATTAGTCTTTTCGCAATTCTTCGGACTGGTAACCTGCTATGCTCTCTCCTCATTTGAAGAGGGTTGGATAGAACGACTGGTGCCGCAGACCTATAATGAAACTGCTGGTAATATTAAGGGTGATGCAAAGTCTATTGGACCGTCGTCTCAGGAAGCATAAGAACACTGGTACCATTCTGAATGTAAATCGGCAAGATTTCCTGGTTTTCATTAATGAATTGCCGAATAACCCTAGCTCCTCAACACTCCTGTAGACCTGAGATGTAAAATTATGGAGGCCATTAGGAATTAGTAGCAGACTGCCACTGAAAGTGGCATATCAGTAGATACAAACAGCTCTAGAGATTGCATTCACCAACAAAAAGGACTTCTCCACTTTATGTGGAAATGACCTCTCCCACAACCAAACAGATTTATATTTCAGGTGAATACTCACGGAAAAATTAGAAGCGAGCACCAAACATGCAGCAGACGCATCGAAAACCATCACAGCTCTCTGAACCACCTACAGGCGGTCAGGTGCACTCAAACTTGGGATGTTAACGCAACTGTACAAAATGTCCAATTTACTCCATCAGCACTTTCGAAAAGACAATTCGACCTCTTATAGATCGTCTTAAGTTGTCACCATTTAGAAATATCGATCGTCCAATGATTGGCCCCGAAAACTGGATTTATGTGCTCACTGCTATTTCACAACTAGGAAAGATTTGATTATGGATTACAACCTAATGCACCCTAACAAATATCAATGGTCGGGCACTGATAGATATCTCAGGTTGACCCGAAAAGCGTCACCCATTAGAGGGCAAAGATAAAACTGAAATCTGACTACGTTTTCACTAGAGTTCCTCGCTTATGAGACCCCAAGCTGGCCGACGTGACCACCGTTCCGATGGTTAGTAGCTCCCAGAGAAAACTTAAGGGTCATCCCAAAACCAATGTTCTTTACTCGTTTGGAGTATTATCCTGTAAAATAACAGTTAAGAGTTCCAACATAGACTCTGTATCAGTACAAACCATGTATGAACGTCTTACCTATTCCTGCATTCAGTGGAGCTAAATTAAGCTCGAGTTAACTAGATGGTGGGAGAGATTTTCTGAAGCAGAATTCACCAAAAATCTAGAACTATTCGAAAACCCTAAAAGCGGAGCTAAAAGCTTTTCACAGGTTTGTCACCAAGATATTGATTACTGGGCAATGCTTTAAACCAGGCGAAATCATTATTTCACACCCTTAAATTGTGTTGCGCAAAAAAAGCGCACATTGCAGGAACGCGCGATTGTCAATGGTCCGAGGAACGTTGATTTTCTAGATTATGGCTGATCTTCCGCCTACCCAAGACATTGACGAGACTCATGACTGCGCATCGCAATCAACTGATTCTTCAAAAGCATGGGGGCGATTGCTTCCTTTGGATAAGAGATTTCCTTCTCTTGGTTTGATGCCTCTTAGTTTTGTAATCGATAATAGAATTAAGTAATGACTTTTATACATTTGGTCGTGGTGACGATTGTTCTTTTAAATTCGTCCCTGATATGTTTGACGGAGCTGCTCAGTTTACCACCATTAGTAAACTGCATTTTAAGATAGTATTGGTAAATATATCTATTCCCGGTTCTTTCAACATTCAATTTTAGGATACTCTGGGCGACAGTCCATTAGTTTTCATACATGATCTTAGCAGCAATGGAACTTTTGTTAATGGCTGCAAAATAGGACGTAATAAAAAGCGACCACTGAATAACAATGATGAAATTTCAGTGTCACTGAAAAATTTGAAATGTTTGAGTCCATTTTAATACCTTACTCAACCAATAGGTTATATATTTTCTGATTTCAGTTGTGCTTGTATTTCATACCCTTCGGAAGTGACGGACAAATATACTGTCTCCAAACATCTTGGACGGTTAGTATTGCTTGCGTCTAATAATTAACATGATTGCAGAGGTGCTTTTGGGGAAGTTAGGCTAGCATTTGATAAAGAGTACTGTGAAAAATACGCAATAAAAATAGTTCAGAAGAAGAACTTTTCCATCCTGTCAAAATTTGGCAAGGTATGTTACTTTCCATTACGTTTCTCGAAGAATTAGCCTTTTACCGGTTCTGTCGCCGCTGAAGTGGATATATTGATGCGTCTAGACCATGTAAGTTTTCTTGAAATTGGTATGTGTTTATTATGTGATTGATTGTCCTGTTTTCTTTATATAAATATACATAATAAAATGTTTCCGGAAGTTTATATTTGAGAAGAATGGTAGATTACCCATAACCTTAATACTTGTGTGTGCTAAAAGGCTTATATCTTCATTTCTCAACTGTTTTATCATGCGATGGAATCCTAATATAGAAACAACAAAATGTATTAGGTATAATATGTGGAGTTTGTTCATTATATTACGGTCCCGCTCCGTTTCGCGTTGCCTTTAGTTATTCGGATTCTACTATCTACAATTTTTGGGATTTACTCACTGCAGTCAAAATGATTTTATTTCCTCTTTTTCATTTCTGTAAAACTCACTATCAGTAATCGAGTAAGTTTAATGCCTAATGGAATAGGTAGACATAGTTCACTAAAACTATCATGAAGTCGTACTCAGGTGTAAGCGGTGATTTCTGTGAAACTTAACGATAACCCAAAACATATTTAGCCAGTTCTTGTCTGTTATATAATTCCCATTACTGTATTTACTTAAAGTGCTTTTCAAGTACTTGGTTTGAAATTTATGAGACATCTAGCCTTAATCAGGTTACATGTTAGCATGTACCCCAACATTCCAAAATATTAGTCGTTTCTATGTATGGCCAATATACTGCTATAAAGTGAGATACAAAATATTTCTTTATTGGTTTTCACTCTGACAATTTACAAAAATGCGTTGTATATGCACAATAAAGGCACACACACCGTAGAAATTGTAGCCACATTTAAATTTTCAGTGGTCTTTGTAAATTAATGAGTTTGCAGTGTAGAACTATGCACGAAATGCAGCATTTAAAGTTATCGTACACCACAAAGTAAACAGATGCTTGGAAAAAACTCAGGTGAAAAAGTAAGAAACAATAATTATGTGGTGGAACATAAAGGCTTAATGAGTCTGGTAGTTAAGATCATTGAGAGCATTTTCAAGCCGCATCAACAACCTCAACTCATTAGTTCTTAGTATCTCAAGGGCTCCAGCCAGGCGGTCTGCACCTCCCCACGTGGCCCAAACGAAAAGTCAAGGACTTCACAGATTGAGGCCAGGTTTTGATTTGACTTCCTCTAACTCTTCCAACTTAGTCCGATGTCACCTAACATTTCTCGACGAGCAATGGGATGGATTGACATGTGTAAAACGTGTCCTAGCCATCTCAGTCATTGTAGCCGTACAACCACATCGGCTAAATTGCCCTCCTTACCTAATCTCAGTATTACTCACTATGTAACAGTTGACATAGTAGATAAAATGTAAACAACCATAGTCATATATAGCTAGCCTCTTCAGGTCTCTCACTCTTAAAAACCACGTCTCACAGTCATAAGGGAGGACAAATCGAACTACTGCGCAGTATACACCTTCAACTGATAGCCGGATATCACATATGCACTTAGGATGACGTAAGTCAGCAAATACAACATGAACCATTTGTACCCTTGTTGAGATTTCGTGAACAATCAGTCTATCAGGGTTGATTCAACTTCCCAAATAAGCGAAGTGGTTAATACGCTTAACCACTTCACTTCCTATCTTTGATTCGCAATGTTTGCATAACTATAATTGGACCTTCGTAGATTTACATAAGTTGGTTATATCTTAATCTAACAAAATATCTTCATCTTTCAATATATTGTTGATTAAATTCTATCCTAATTGACAATTTTCTTTGCCAGCCCTTCATCATTCAAATTTACGATGTGATGGATACACCAGAAGCTCTGTATATGGTTCTTGAACTGTAGGAAAAACTGTTCTAAATAGCCTTCATAACTGTATTTTAGTGTCGAGGGCGGTGAACTTTTTGATCGCATTGTTTCACTTGGCCAACTAAATGAATTGGACTCAAAGTTTTTCTTTCTCCAAATGGCTATGGCTGTTGAGGTAAGCAATGAACTAGTATTATCTACCCACAAAATCACTTTAGTTTTCTTTCGATGTTCATTTCAGTCTAGACTTTAGTTTTTTGTCTCATAATTCTACTCGAACTACCTTAATTCCTTTTACTTTATCTTTAAAAAGTTGAAAGTCGATAAATATAATGTTTTCATTGATATTTGTAAACATTTATTTAACCATACTAGCCATAAGGTTAGCGTTATCCCTTCGATTAATTGAGATTTTGTCAGATTTTGAAATATTTCAGTAGATATAGTTCTAATGGTTCCCTTGTTCAAGTGAGCCACGTGTTTTTACTTGTTTTTCTGTAATATGAACATAACAAAAACAGTGGTCTGAGCAAAGTCTATGTAGAATGAGCAATACTTAAATTTCAATTGTTTTGCTTTATTCAAATTCATAAAGAGAAATAAGTTTAGGAATTTTCTGATCGAACTCGTCATTAGCACTAAATAGACATGTTAATTGGTTGCTACGCTGATATCAGAATAGTAGCCAACTGGTTGTTACTGGTTCATTCTTACAAGATGAACTCACTGCAGAATTTTCTCATAAACTTTAGCTAAAAGACCTTAAAAACTTCTGATCACTTTCGATTTTTACTATGGGTAAAATTTATTTTGATAAAGTATCACAGTGTTTTACGGTAATATTTACTGATGACGTTTCGAGCACAATTTATTGCTCGTAATCATATCAAGGCTACGATAAATTTTACCCATAATGGAATTATACTCTACCACAGTGCACAAGTTCTATTCTTATATCACTTTCGATTTTGTGATCTCTGGTATTTTTACTTTATTTAAATTGCCTGCTTTGTCTTCAACTCGGAGAGAATAGTCCCTACATCATCGCTACCATTATTGTGTCGGTTTTAGTTATGTTTTCACTTCGTTTCTAGTCGTGATGAACTTTATTCTCATTGGTGCATATATACAGTTTCCAGGTCTGTTTATTTCTTTATTCTGAGTTGATCAATTAATCCCACTAACTCATTAGAAATATCAGACTCCCATTTAATGTTCAGTACTCTACAGACTGATCAGTAACTGACTTATCAACATAAAACCGCACAAAATTGCACCATATTACTGCACTCAATACAAAGATTGAAAAAAAGTGTATGTGTGGTCGAAACTGCTAACCTCATCATATCTCCCACTTTCGATAGATGCATCTAACGGGTGTGAAGAAGAATGAGCTGCGGTGCTTCACAAGATGCACATCATTTGTTGGGTAACAGTGTATCTCACGGGCCCTCAAAATGCAAATACCAAACCAGCCTAATGTATTCCTGATGACATTTTGTAACCAGACAGTTCAATGGAGTTGATGCATTCCCTAAATAATTGCAGTGACAAAGACACTGCCATTCTACTCCTTACTGGAAACTAGCGCAAACCAGTCTAATAGCATCTTGCATATGTCAGGGTTAAATCGCATCCCGAACATAGTTGAATTTTTTGGTCAACATGTTCAAATGACTACATATCGTCAGTGTCTTCAGTTGAATTGGTTGTGTAGTATATGTACTCTGACACAACGAGACATTTTTCCTTGACAGTGAGTCCATTCCTCGAAAGTCGAAGTCAACTAAAGTCACATCCATTAGAGCACTTATATTGAATTTAAATAAAAATAATAACGGTGAGCATCGCCGATAGATATCACTAATTGTCATCGCTTCGGGGAACTCCTCTTCATAAGTTCTTACACAACTACTTTAGAGCAGTACACCATACTTTCTAGACGCCTCATTCATAGCCACATATTGAGATTTTCATGACTTTTCGTCTTACAGTTTACTGATTTCTCAGTGAATTTTTCAGCATCACTATACGCAATGATATGAAGCTTATACTTTTTCTCTATTTGCCTGTTTTGTTTTTTCTCAATTCAACCTTCAAAGTATCTGCACAATCATGGAATTACACATCGCGATTTAAAGGTAATGTTAACAATGATTATATATGCTCGTTTTCTATTACTGTCATATGACTCTTAATTTTTATAACAACACTTTTCACTTATTGTCCATCAAAAATGAACAAGTTTAAGTACTTTCTTTATTTTATGAAAAAAGAACACGTTTGGGATTTCGTCAGTGAGAATACTGCTTGGTTTTTTGTTTCACTTAGGTAGTTAGTCTTGCTAAAATTTACTAAAACAAAGACTGATTACATAACTCGGTAACCATTTAAGAATGTGTACACTTGGTGTATTATGGCAACAGTACCAGGTAGTTTTCGAGAACAAAGTATTTATAATAGATTCACATTAGTTACTCAGTTGTTGAGAATCAAATGTATTAGTCATCATGTTATTTGGGTATTATTCACTAATGACTATGCTTCGATAGGATTAGGAAAGCACTGTGATTGCTTTCATGTCTTGTTCATGATTCAAGAAATCCTTTTTAAAGAAAATATTTAAAGTAAGCAGGGTTTTTCATAACTTAAAGGAGTTTCACAGGCAGAGGTCAAGTTATATAATTATATTTACTAGACAAGAATAGACATATTACAAAACTGGTACGGCCGACGGTGGATAGACTAGGATCTTCTCAAAATGCTGTCATGTTGCCACGCGTTCATAGCCTCTGCCAGGTAAATCCTATTCACTGCCTTCACACGATAAGGGTGTTCCTCATAAAAGTTAAACAGCGAATGCGAATGTCTGGTGCTTACAGTTGGACTGGTGGATATTCAGGTTTATCTGGGGGAGCTGAAAGACCCTGGTCCCAAACATGTGGTTGCCAGCAACCATTGAAACGTAGCTCCTGATTCTGCACCACTGCCTTGTGAATCAGATTTCGAGTCGAAGACTTGGGGGTGGCGCCTTAAGACAAACATCTGTTTCAGCCCGGGCGTCCGGGAAGTATCCCAGCCATTGTACAAACCATAAGATTGTAGGGTGCATCTCTTGGTGCTCATAATGTACCAAGTTTGTGTTTTAATAAAATACATATAACAAAACTATTAATTTTACCTTCATAGGATTCAAATAAGTATTTCCTGAATTCTACTGTAATGAAACAGGTAATTTTCAATATATATATTTACAATTTCGTTTGTACTCAACTACTCAGAACCGATCTTTCTTGTACCAGGCTGAGAACCACACTTATCGTGTTAAGGCTGAAGCTACTGTCTTGCTGGCCAGGCTAAGGTAAGTGGGAAGGGATTCGAACCACGCAACCAATTGACTGAAGACCAAGTGCCTCAGTCAGTGAGCCCCATCTCCCTATTTTTTGTCGAAATTCCAATATATTCACATGCTGTCACCTCTGAAAAACAGTGTCTAAAATACTAAAAATTAAACTAAAATTTTATCACAGTTCATCACTGCATTTTTTATCCAGCTCAATGAAACGTTTAGATTTCTCCCTAGATTAAAACACTAGTAGCTCTACATTGTTGTTAAGAAGCAGTAAACGTTTTCAACATTCTGTTTCCTAGTGTCATCAAGGACTTAAGTCAGAACCTATGTATTTCTTCTGATTTGGACTTCTCAGTATCATCTCATTAAATATGGTTCATAATGTCAGAAATTGATTTAAGGGAGCTTCTGATTACCGTCTGTTAATTGTGACTTATTTTGTTCTTTGTTAAAAGTTCCACTTCGGAAAGCCAGTTATCCGTAAAAGTTTCTCGATTCGACGACTGGTAATTCCTTTTCTTCTGTTTCAGCCTGAAAACATCCTCCTCACAAGTAAGGCTGATCGATGTCTTATAAAAGTGACTGACTTCGGTGTATCTAAGCTTGTTGATGAAGGAACGATGCTGCGAACATTCTGTGGTACTCCAGACTATTTAGCTCCTGAGGTTCTTAAAACTGCTGGTTGTGGGACCTACACATGTGTTATTGACGTGTGGTCCCTTGGAGTGATTTTATATATCTGGTAAGTCTTATTTAATACAGTGTCTGTTTTGTGCACCTTAATTACGGTTTCAGCTGACAGCCTTTCCGGTCAGCCAATACGCTCTTCGTGAGCAATGTTGTGTCATTGAAATCACTATTTCTATGATTTTTTAGATAATTTACAAGGTTAATTGTCAACAATTAACATGATGCTGAGTAACTGAAAAAACCTGGATAATTTACTACCATCAGGAGTCTTCATACATCGCCTAGCAGCTCAACACTAACTTGAAAACTACTCCAGCTATTTATTATTATTGTTCCCTAGGGTTACAAGTGGAACATAGGTATTCAGCAGCACATCACCATTTCACTTTGTTCTTTGCTTTCTTTTCTTATCTGGCTCCACGATTGATCATAATCTTCCATCCCTCTTCACACTATCTCCTCCATGCCACCTTCGTACGCCCAACCCGTTTCCCATTTGGGTTCCACTCGACGGCCTCCTCAGCGTTTGTCCAATCCATCTACATTTCCTACGGATTGTTTGTCGGGCGATATGTTTTTGGTTGGTTCGTTACCAGAGTTGCTTGTTGCTTTATCCTTCCTCTCCATCGAACCACCGAAGACAGCTGTTGATGAAGGTTTGCTTTTGATGACGCACGCGCCAAGTCTCTGAACCATATAGAACTTGATTTGACATTAGTGCAAAAAATGAGGATCTTGTTCTTTATACTGAATGCAACAGATTTTCACACTGATTTCAGATTATTAAGGGTCTGACTTGCTTTTGAGATCCCGTCTTTGACATCCTTATTCGTGCTGCCTGTAGTTGAAATGGTGCTGTCTAGATAAGTGAGATTCCTCCCGTTGATAATGATTTGTGCTTCTTGTTGTTGGTATCCCACCGAATCTTTCCAATAGACTTCGTATTCGTTTATTGCACACAGCTGAGGCGATAGGCATTCCAACTATGTATTCAAAAAAAGTTCGTACAGTCATTATCCCTCCCTTGGCCTATTAAGACATAACCAACTAATGACTTCTACACCATCCTTTGTTTATATTTTCAACCCCTTTCTTATCATCCCTTAATCTTATCTTCATTATAAACGTGTTTGATTTTCTTCCCTTACAATCTAACATTACTTAATCGGTTCATTTGTTTTTACTAGCCTTTATCGACTACTTCCACCTGAACAGTTGTTTGTTTAATCATGCTGTTTTTCATTATTCGTGTTATCACAGATTGCCTCATATTTTCATCCTTATTATTGATAAGACCATTTTTATTATTTCTATTATTATTATTATTATTATTATTATTATTATTATCATTGCTACTATTATGACTAATTGCACAATTTATATTCAACATCGTATTATCCTATAGACAAAACACCATGATTGGTTTATGTTTGAATTTTTATTTGTAAACTTATATATATTAGAGTTAAGCCTGGTGACATCTAATTGAAAACAGTATTTGGATTTTCCCAAAACTTATGTGGAGACCATCGGTTTACTTGGGTAAAAGCCTTATGGTTAGCCGTATCGAATAACTGTATTACTACTTTCTGTCCCTTACGTTAAGATTTATTCATCTGTTTTCCATGAGAAGACACTGGAATCACGACATTATGTCTTGCATTACTGTATAAACATTCAATTTTCCACACCTTCAGTCCGCATGTCAAGTTGTTGGAGGTCAACAAGAAAGGAAGTCGATAGCAGTTTCAGTCACCAAACTACCTTCAAGAAAAGCGTCAGACAAAACATTTTTATTAAATAGTTGGAGGTAATCGACAGGAAGCCATGGACACCTAAGTTCCGTATTTCTTGGTGCCCATCAGCAAGGCATATGTGCAACTCTGAAGGAACCCATGTCCCTTCCGAGACTCGAACCTACACTACACAGTGCTGCAGCAGAGGCGTTACTACAGAGCCATTCGGGATCGTGATTGACCTACTGTAGGACTGTATTGAATACTTACTAACTAGTGTCCAATCAAAGTATCCAATACAGTCCTACGGGTCACTCACGAGCCCTCTGATTGCAGCACTGAGTGATGAGGGTTCAAATCTCAGAAGCAGAATAAGTTCATTCAGGGTTGCATATACGTCTTACTGACAAATGCCAACTAGCACGAAACCTAGGTCCAAGGCTTCCTCTGGCCGATCGCCTCCAACCATCTAATGTCGACAGTTCCAAGTGTACCGTGATGGCGAAGTCACCTAGCTTGGTGGCCTCATTGCAAATGTGACCGACAGAATTCAGTCTGCACCAAACAAAGGGCTAGACACATTACACTAGTTACTAACTAGTGTTCAGTCAAAGTATACGAATCAATTTTATTCACTATATTGAAATTTAGGTAAAAAAACAAAACAGTCATGCATCTAAACCACTGTCGTTGGTTTTGATCATGTAAATATTCGTAAACAGATATTTTTGTAAAGATTTTGTCAGGCCTAATTTTCACAAAATGTCCTTCACACTAACTCATGCATATATATATATATATATATGCATCATAAACTGGTAATTATAATTAGTCGACTAAAATGCACTATTAAGCTTGCTCAATAGTTAATTAGGTTTGCGTAATCGTCCCTCTGACTGTTTCGTTTTTCTAAATTGTGAGTTTTTTTTGAGCTAAAACTCACATATTGCAGTTTTCGTATGTCATCTAGTGTCAACCTCACTGTTATATATTCTAACTTATAGTCTTAAAAATCCGTTTATCTGTTAATTATCCAAATTCAATTTTAATCCCTAAAATTAGCACGTGTTCTAGTTTTTAAATGTCAAGTTTTATCTGTTTACAGTCTAGTGATATTCATATTTACAGAAATGTGTGACTAACATAGCGTAGAACTTTGCACAAAGGTAGATAAGTTCAAGTTGCAACACTTTCTAATTCCATTTTTAGTCAACATCGTTCTTCGAGGGAGGTGGTGGTGGTTAGCATGGATAACATATACCGTAGTCATTGATTAACATCCTCTCTTTAACCGAATAGGCTACCTAATCTCACTCAATATTACCGACCGTATCTCTCCACTCAACACTAAAGATTGCATTAAAGCGCCTAATTACTCAGCGTATTTTGTAAATGGTTAAAGTTAATAATAATATATAAACTTATTTATTTGTCATGCACATGTAAACTCCACGAACACTGCGCACTTACTACAAGGTCAGGTTATCTAAACACTGATTAATTCGTGTGAATAGTGTAAAACTATTAGTTTCATCCAGTGGTTTATGTTGGACAGCTTATCAAAAGAGACTTTTCAGAGCTCTCATTGCTTTTCTCAATTAAGTTACAGATTATTAGGAGGTTGATGGACACCATCTGTCAGTGCAATCCAGAGGACTCACGTTTCGTCTATTACGGGACTCGTCATCTGGATGTATCTGCATCCCCAGTAGTGATAATAATTTCAGTTCTAGCCAAAATCAATCACATGGCATCATGTCAAACTTTAAGTATAGTCAAAGCTGCTATACTAGGAGCCGAAATGACGATAAGGACTAAATATCTCGGTCCAGTAAAATCAACTAACGGGATGTGCAAATTAGGTTACAAATTGTTAAAGAGGCAGACCCATAAAAGACTCTCTGGTTAGTAGAATGATCTCTGTTGGGCGAAACACTTCGATTTGTGGTTCTACCGACTATTCGACACTAGTCTGAAAGGGAAAGCGAGAGTTGCTCAGGCTGTCTCTGATATAAAAACAAAAGGCAAGTATATAGCAAGGTTTCATAGTTTGAGCATTCACGACTCTAACAACATATTTGTTCACTAATGGATAGTTTTATCATTAGTATTATTTTTTGTTATCTCATATCTTTAGTCTTGCAGGATATCCTCCTTTCACTAAACAACGTGAAGACTATGATTTGGAAACTCAGATTGTTAAAGGCCTATATGATTTTCCACAAAATTTTTGGCATGGTATAAGTCAAGAGGCTATCAATCTTATTAAGCGTATGCTTGTTGTTGATCCGTTGGAGAGAAGTTCAATTCACGTAAGTCATTTTGAAAAAAAAGATTGGTTAACATTTTGTCTTTAAACTTGCAAATTAACTACCAGATGAAATAAAAAGTAGCCCCATCTGTTGTCATATTAGATCCTGTAAGTTAAATAGTTTTTGCATAATCTTATGCATAGTTCAGCTATTACCCATCTTCATATGTGATACTGACCAGTGCAGTTAAGAAGGTTAGTCAATAACTGCAGATAACTAGTCCCTACCTACTAGCAATCGATCTAAATGAGATTATATACCACGGTTTTACTACTCAGATATTCTCTTTTAAGCTGATACGTCTATTTATCTGTCTGCTTAGAATATGGGATTACGATAATAACAAACTGGTGTGTGGTTCATGGTGGTGTGTCCATGGATTAATGGTAGAGTGTTCCTCAACTACCCGGGAGTTCTGAATTCAATTCCTGTCTGACGCACTTCTGCACTGCCTGTTTTACCAGCTGCTGGTAAGCTGAAAGGTTAGGTCGTGTGAGGCTAACAACATCGCCGCTAATGAAATGTTATAGTCTGAAGTACTATGTTCCATTCGGAACGTAAGAAATGATAGTGTAAACCAGCATTTTGCATAGCTACACCTTATATGGATTCTAATGTTATTAACTTTATCCAGTCTTCATATTCACATCATATTTAACTTATTCTAACCGATATTTTACATTCCTATGTATATAATGTTATCAAGCCGGATAAAATACCATCAAACTTCAGAACTCAAAGATAGCTGAACAAATGTGATTGTCATTCTAAGCTACGAATTTTCCCTTGTCTAGGGAGCGAAGATAGGCAACTGTACTTAAGGATGACATTATAGCTTTTAGAACCACTGGAAAGTTGTTGTAACTGGCTTAAAATAAACCGAGAGTATCTATTAATCATCAGTACTATTGTTAAGAGTGCTAGCCAAACTAGTATGTCTGGATGATATATGCATTTGACTTCTATGGATGGATTCAAATTTCACTCCAGCTAAAGAGGAGTTCACGCAGTTAGCTAGGATCATTGACCAGCACAAAATAGATGTGACTCGTTGCTAGATTCAAAAACATGGTTGTTTAATGCAAATTTTCACTTTATTATGACTGGAGAACACTATCGATAATCGAAATGATGTGTAACTGTAAACAGAATGAATGATAGTCAGTTTAGAATGAAGTTTATATGTATATTGTTATTATTATTATTATTATTATATAATCAAAACTCCGAATACTAATCTAAATAAACACTAAATAACTTATTTCCAGGATGTTTTGAAAGATCCTTGGTTGAATAATTCTGAAATTCAGAAAGAAGTTCAAGAATTAATTAATTGTGCAAACCGTATATCTTCCCGTCATCATCAACAACATCCTCAAGCTCAGGTTGTAAAGCCAATATGTCCGTCTTTACCGGATACTGTCCCATCAGCTTGTCATTCTCCTGAGGCTACTAATTCATGTGACACTTCGAATAATCTTACAGATTTACAAAATTCGCATGATTCTGTCCATCGTCAGGTTATACAAGAAAACACAGACAATGTAACTGTGAATGATTTCAAAGAAAACGCAGAAGCCATATTGACTGACAAAGTAAGATTAACGTGGAATTGATCAGATTTTGTTTAAGTGTTCATAATTAAGCATTTATAAGCTGAAGTTATTATGTAATATTTTCTTGCTGTTACTTATTTCTCATTTCGGGTTTCTTTTTCTAATCCATTTGCAACTGTATATCACTTACACAGAGTCTTTTTTTATTTAGTTTAGAGTTTAATGACATTTCACTGTTGTGTGTAATATTCCCTTGGATTCCGAGTTGAACATAGGGCTTCAGCAGCAGGTCTCCATCTCACTCTGTTCTTAACAGCCTTTTTTCAGCTAGCTGCGTAATTTTTCCACAGGTTTCCATCCCCTCCGACGTCCAACTCTCGGTGTTTCCCTATTCGGGTTCCACTGGGGTCTGGGTTGCGATTCCACTCAAGGGTCTGTTCAGCATGTGTCTGATCCATCTCCATTTCCTTTTGTATATCTGTTGGCCAATAGGTTCCTGGTTGGTTCATTGCCAGAGTTTCTTGTTGCAAATCCTTTCTAACCCTATCGTCTTTAGTATGAAGAAGGCTCTACAACAGCACACACATCCTTCATAATCTCATAAACGTTCTGTCTGTCTGTTGAATACCATTTTCACTAGTAAGATTTGTGCACATGCATCCATTCTGAATCGATTAATTAATTAGTGCCTTTTATATCATACGACAGTAGGCTGTGCATGATTGTGGATACTTTAAAAGTAACTTCACTATCAAGTATTGGACATTAGTATGAAAAGGGAAAATTGTCTTTCTTTTAACCTTCTGATTTATTCACTCACACTTTTAAAAGGCACTAAATTATAACGAAATGAATATTTAGTTTCATTTTGGATTGTAGCTCTGTTTCATCTCAATTCCTCAAGATAGTTTGATTCTTGTTTTTAGGTTGATTTGCAATTTCCCTGTTAATTGATTATGTTTTATGGAAATGCTTGCTGTCTGTTGCTATGTCGGCTGTTGTTAGTTCGGATGCTTTGACAATGTCCAAGGATTAACGTGAAGTTATTTTGGTGAGTGGTGAAGAGCAGTGGAATTCAAGATCCTCATTTCGCTCTATTTGAGACTTGTCAGCTGGATGCACAAAAGGTGACTCTCCTGAACTTCGTGGGTGATGCTCTGCCATTTGGAACGATGACTGCAGGGTTCGAATCTCAAGGGGAACTCCATTGCTGGATGGGGATACAAGCACATCCAGCTGATCGAGTCCTAAGTAGGCTGGAATGTACATCCTGGATTCCACTGCTAGTCAATTGTCTTCTAAAGTGAATTGATCAGTTAAGCATATTACTTAAATTGTTATTTCGTATCCTTAATGTTTGTTTTTGTTTCAGAGTGTTTTTAGAAAAAAGCGACCGGCTTTGTCTTCGCCTATTCCAGTGACAAAATCTCCAAGGGTGTTCACTCCCATTGATGAAGAATATAATAACGACAGAGAAATAAAATAGAATACTGACTTTGTTTTTTTATAGTATGAATTGATAATTCTGCCAGCTTGATTCACCTATTTTTATATTTTCTAATTTTTATTTAGGATATTTATTATCTGCTACTGTAACTAATCCATTCTATTCATCTTTGTACCTATCCATATATACTCTGTTTTGAATTCTAGACAATATTACTTCAGTGCATTTTATTTTGTAAAGCCTCATCTCTGATACATATTTTCTTCTATATATTCACAGACTTTTATCCATACTGTTAATTCACTTGAAATAAAAAAAGGCATTTTTATATTTTTGTTATGCTTTTCTAATAGCAAACGATTTTGCAAACGAAATGAGATTACTAATAATGAGTGAAAGTACAACGTTGAAAAATAATTAATCATGGACAGGTTGGAAATAGGGTCTCAGTGACCGATTGGTTAACGGGCTCCCAATGTAACCTGTGTAAGTCATGGATATGTACTGATGAGGATTCCCAACGCAAGGGCGAAACATCTCTTCAGTACTTCCTGGTTTTCAAACGTCAGTGGTCTAGTAGTAGAATGCTCAACAGCTATTCCCGGCGGATGAACTCCTCAGCTTCACCTAAATGGCAGTAAGCCTGGAAAAGAGAGAAAGCTGGATGAGAGGCTAGCAAACCAACCCAAAAAGAAAACATCACTGCTGAAGATTCAGAAGTTTGAAGCCTTATGTTCCACTGAAAACGCAAAGGAGTTAATAAATAATGAAATAGGTAGGAAATAAGGATTAAAATAAAAGTAAGTGAATGACAAAAGGATTGAGCAAAGAAATATTTGCTTTTCAATTAGATCCTCATCATCTGTGGTTCTGCCCTTATATACCTGTAACAATTTGATCACAAAATGAAAATTTATTAATCTAATGGTAGTGATAAATCTGTTAACAATAATTAGTCAATGTAAACACGTCACATAGGGAGATAATTAGTGAAGAAAACTAATACAACAATTAAAGGGTAGGAATATTTACAAAACGTAAACAAGTGGATTACGTAATGCATAGTTTGGGAAAGCCAAGAAGATTCGATAGGGAGTGAGTGAGTGCTGTTCAAATTGATTACGTAACAACGCAACTGAAGACGAAGTAGTCAGAATAATAAAATGATTAGGACAATAATACCGTGTAAGTGACTTAAGTTGAGGGGGGAATTGTCAATTTTTTCTTACATTCATGTAACGACGGCTACGGTAAGGAAAGTAGTTGCACGAATTTCTTATGGAATGCAGGTTTGGTTTCTTCAGGTGCATTCCAACAGCCTCAGCTTTTTGCAGGAGACGAACTCACAAAGCAAAGTTAAGATTGGTGTGGCAGAAGAGAAATTCAGTGATATCATTATCAAGCTTTATATGTATATATATATATATATATATATATAGTAAGTTTTCATAGCAAAAGCGGATTGTTCCCAAAGATGTATCCCTAAAATTGAAAGTGTTAACAGAGTAGAAAATTAAATAAGTAAGTTGCAATACATAATATCATTCTCAGGACTGTGTGGAGGTCAAATAAAGTTGAAACAGAGTTAAGTTCATTGTTATATGAGGTTAAAACGTAGTGGTAGGAGAGAAGAAAAATCAAAACAAGTGATTCAGCGAAGAGACTGTTTTCAATGAATTTATTATCAAGCTGTACCATCGTACATATATGGTTTTTAAGAAGGTATATCCGGTGAGGGAATTGAATCATAGGTGAATGCATAAAATAATAATAATAGTATGAAATGCAATTAAAACTGAAATGTTTGTGATTATAATCATAGTTAAATGTCAAGTGGCAAAGCAAATTAATGTCATATATAGAATAATTCATAGGATGTATAGAACTTGGAAGGGGTGTGCAATTATAGGATTAGTAGACAAATCGAATAAAATAAAAACGTTACGTAATATTGTGTGAAATTTAATAGCATAATTTAACGTTGCAAAACAGAATTGATTTAGAATAACAAGTGGAACGAATGAAATAATACCGGGGACAGTTCAAAGTGAGAATAGTAGTAGTAAAAATTGACGTAATAAAGGAAGAGTATACAAAATGAAAAAAATCGGTAGAGCCAAAATATGATTAGGGATTACCATACTTTAGCATAGAGGGATTAAGACCATGAAAGTTGGAGGGGTTGAACGAACTTTTTCTGTACACAGAGATCTGGCTTTTCTGTTTCGATAGCCAAAGCTTCAGCAATACAGATGAGTCGGGTACGTAGTGATATCAGTAAATTACTTTTTGTCTTGTAGGTGACTTTGAAGGCGGAGGCTATAGAGATAGTGTGATCATTATCGACCAGATGTTCAATGATCGTGCTTCTTATTGCTCCACTTCCACCTCTTCGTAACCATGCAGGATAGTGTTATTGCACCCTATTGGACAAAACTCGAGTCGAACGACCGATATATATATATATATATATATATATATATATATATGACTATACAGCTTGATAATAAATTCGTTGAAAAGAGTGTCTTCGCTGAATCACTTGTTTTGACTTTCTATAAGTTACAATGGGGATTTTCTAGGAGATAAATAATCAGATCGAAAAATTAGGACATGTGAAATTGCCCTGGAAACTGTTAAAAATGGAAACAAAAATAATAATAAGATGAAAGCATAGAAATTAAATAAATAAATGTTTATCCAGGTTAGACCACTGATTGATATCAGCTAGAGAACAATTGAAAACCAAGGTATACTGAGTAAACAGAAAGATTTAGCGAAGAAATATTTACTTTTCAATTAGATCCTCTTCCCTGGCTCTACTCTAATATATATAGCATTTTTACAATACACAACAATTTACCAAACAAGTGGTGATATGTTTGTTAACAATAATTAAACAGTGTCAAAATGTCAATGGATAGATAATTAACGCAGAAAATCAATACACATTTAAAAAGTAGAAATGGATAGAATAAATTAATTTTACAAGAATTACACGTAATTAAAAATGAAGTGGTCAAAATAGAAATAAAATAATTTGGACAATTATAATTTAATAGGGGGAAGGGGCGACGTAGTCCTGTCTTGTAACGATGGCCACGGTAAGGAAAGTGGCTGTGAAAATTTCTTCTGTACACATAGGCTTGGTTTCTTCTGGTGGATTCCAATTGCTTCAGCTGTCTGTAGAATACGAACTCGTAGAGCAAAATTAAGATTAGTAGGACTGCGATAAATAATTTTAAATGCAGTATTAACATCAACCTTATGCTCAGTATCAACAAGGTGTGCTAAAATAGAACTACGAATAGATTTTATTTTTCCCTTGCTTAACCACGCTGGATGATGTTCAGAAATACGACGATGAAACTGCCTAATTGTACGCCCAATGTAGCTGGCTCCGCAGCTGCAGTCAAACTGGTAGATACACATAGAAGAGGCAAAATTAGGTAGTTTATCCTTATTTGTCAAACGTAGAATAGGAGTGGTTGTGAAGAGACAACGTACCTCTGCTGCATAATAAGCTCTTTTAACTGCATTCTTCAGGCGCTGTGTTATGATTTCGTTGATGTTGTCACCGAGGAACTGCAGTTTTATGAACATTGGTTTCTTCGAAACTGTTGCCATCCTGTGACTCTCCTAGCTGCTGAATTCATATTTTTCTCAATGAATTTATCTGGATAACCGTTTTTTTCTAAGTAATTCTCTAATAATCTTAAGCTCCTCATTGAGGCAGTCGTCTGAACAGATTAACCTAGCTCCATGAACCAGACTCTTTACCAGGTTACGTTTATATTTCAAAGGTACAAAACTCAAAAATTGAGTGTAGTGACCTGTTGTTGTAGGTTTCCTATACACACTCCTTTTTAGTGTGCCATCATCTTTCCTTGCCATGAAGACGTCTAGGAATGAGATACTGTCATTACTTTCTTTCTCTATGGTAAAGTTTATTGCTGAATGTGCATCATTAAACTTGTCAAGGATATTCATTGCATCATTCTCGTCTTTCATAACCACAAATGTGTCATCCATATATCGACAGTAGAAAGGAGTAATTAATGACATGGATTTCTACTGTCGATATATGGATGACAATTAAATGAAAGAGAAAATAGGTCAAGTAATGCGACTCAAAAACTTGTATATCTGTAAAATTTTCTGTAAACTTAACACAGTGGCATGCAAAATGTGTTCACTAAATGCGGAAATAATACAGCTGTTTCGCTCTAGTTCGAATTTCTTCAGCACTTCGCATCCAAGATTCCACTGAAGATAAAATCCGAGGCCTTTAGCTTATGAGGGGAAGCCCGTTGATCATTCAGCCAACTGGGCCGGAACCTAATGACCCGTAAATCATACTTCTTGTCAGTTCACGGTTATATCCGCGACTATGTTCACTTTTAACGCTGAATAAAACTAGAAAGTATAATTATACTACTTAAGAGATAAAAGTAGCGCAAAATTTAAATATATATTGTTGATCAGTGGCTGCAACCATTGTGATGTCCACCAGCTAAGTAGAGAGCGTGCAAAGAACAGCTGGACGTAACACGATAACATGCCAGGTGGTATGGTTGCTTGACTGCTTATCATCACCCTAACTAGTATTGGATAATGGAAGTTGTAGGCTAATAATTATGGGGAATTATTTGCCACAACAAATGTATACGATAATTATAAGAGGAGGTGAGGGCATTATTCTGACTTTGTATTATCCAGTTAAGTGGCTACTTGAAATAAATGCTGTCTACGTAATTTCACTGTGAGCTTTGTGAAACTATATTTACGGCTGTCTGGTATTTTGATACATTGTTATAAAAGATTTACATTTCAAGTTTAGATCAGGCAACAGATGTTAATAAAGGAGAATTTGGTGAATTCATTGAATCTCGATAGAAGTCCTAAGCTGAATGCTGTGCCTAAATTGACATATATTATCACGAGAAATACACGAGGCGATATGAGACTAATAAGTTAACTGAAGTGAGTCAGTCATGCAAAACGAAAGGTGAAAATATTTTACACTGACCAGAAGGAAGTGAGAGATTGGAAATTAACATCATAATGGATTACAGGTCAGTTACACCACTACCATTATCTTAACTCGTCTTATTTTTAGTATTATTATTTCCTTTAGTTCCTAGAGTAACATAGGGCTTCAGCCGTGCGTCTCCATTGCGTTCGGTTCTCTGCTAGAGTCTTCACCTGGTTCCAAGTCTGCCCACACGTTTTCATCTCCTCTTCACATGACCTCCTCCAAGTCACCCTCACACTGACGACCAACTCGCCGCTTCCCATTCGGGTTCCACTCGAGCAATGGACTGGCGTG